GGTTGTTTTGTGTTTTGTAGATTCAGAGCTTTAATTCATGACTTATGGTGCACTGGGAGTTAGTGAATGATAACATTTAGTAAACATCTCAAGTCTTTTATGCTCACCAAGACTATTAAAATTATTAAAAATACAATAAAAGTAATATTGTGAAATATTATTACAATTTAATAAAATTTTATACATATATACTTTTTAATACATAGTGTGTTAATATTTTAAAGTGTCATTTATTCCTGTGACGGCAAAGAGAATTTTCAGCAGCCATTACTCAAGTCTTCAGTGTCACATGATCCTTCAGATTTATTTTAAATATTGTAATATCTTTTAAGCATTCTATTATAAACATTTTAATACCTTTCGCATTTTTCATCGCTTAAGAAAATCCATGAAGTGGTTCATGTTTAGTCAGTTTTCACTGGTTTTACATTTTAATACTTAATTCATGATAATATTATGACAATATCATTATTATTATCATCATTGAAAACAGAATGATTAGCCTATTCAATTGCACTTGAAATGTCAAAGTAAGTTCAGCGACGAAGTGTAAAGAACCCATAGATTTAGCCAGCCCTCTAATTCACCCATAACACCAAGCAGAATGTGCAGTACAGGACCTTCTAGTTGGAGCTCAGGGAGTTTGCTGCCATCTGGTTGAAGAAACCTTCCATTTGGCATCACATCACCAGGGAATGACTGTGGAGAAAAGCAGAACATCAGAGGAAATGCAGTGAAATTCACTGTCCTCCTTCCTGCGCTCCTGCTTTGTATTTTACTCACAGAAAGATCTTCCTTTCTTATCCTATGATCTCATTCGATCGTTTCTCTGTGCTTTGCATCTTTTTTTCTTCTCATTGTATGCTCAATGTGTTTGAATGTCTAAAATTGCTGTCAATATCTGAAAAGAGTTTCTATTTTCAGTTTCTTTGCTGTGTTATACAGGCTAGTATTGACATGTTAGCTTTGACTGGAAGATTGTTTCCATCTCACATGACCCCTGGAAGGTGAGAGGGTTGTTTGATATGCTCAGACCAGCATGGCCAGTATTTAACTTCTGCTCAACATGTTTCACTAGTCCAATTTTCTTTGAGCACAGACGCAGAAACTTTTAATGAGCCAGCGAGCATTTGTGTTGAACAGGTGATACTGAAGCTAATGAAAGCAACAACAGCCCACTCAGATATTAAAGTCTATGTCTGGATTTCTTCTTTTTCATTCTGTGTTATATTGTAGGAACTTCTGTGCGAGAGTTGTATTTTCTCTTATGTTAGCTTTCGAATAGCCGCATGATGAAATGTGGCGACTCACAGGCTTGAGTAGACTGAGCAGCTGTACGCTTAAAATTAAAGGTTACAATTAGAAACGAAAAAGCATTTTACAGGCTGACAGCATGTCTCCACTGGATGCAAGTGGTACATCACAATGCAATAAAGCTAAATGGCTCCCATTATTATCAGTTCTGCTGTTTACAGTGGAAGAGCTTGTTGCTACTTTTCTCAGCGGTCAACGGTTGCTTCCTGTGATTCATGTCATGCCATGGAAGAACTATTTACACTTTCAAATTCTTATTTTCTATGGATTTCTATGAGTCTTTAAAGAACCCAGAAACCAAACTGCTGTTCAAAGAACCTTATAGCCAACTCAAGAACCTGTCTTTGCTGACAGTAAAGAATGGGATGATCAATGCAATGGTTGAGACACTATTGAACATCACAGGGTATTTTAAGTTAATAATTTATTCATTGTCATATTCAAGTTACATCTTTAAGGTCTCAAAGTGACAATGTATAACATTTGTCTGGGACTGGCAAAATAGAATCCACAGGAAAAATGAAATCCATCTTAATTCTGACAGGGAGATGTCAGTGGAGGTGTGTCTGTCTGCTGATAAAATAAAATAAAAATGAAAAGGAAGAAATGAAACGCCTTCCAAAAATAGCTGATTTAGACTCAGTGAAGTTGTGTGTGTATCTGTGTGTGTATGTGACTAGGGATGTAAAAAGGACACAGTCAAGGACATGGTTCAAAAAGAAGAGAGAGTGAGGAGGATGGTGACAAGACACCCCTGCCCCATCCCCCAACTCCAAGGCTGATTTTATTTTTTGATGAGATGTCAAGTTCTCCATTACAAAGCGAAGATCTTGAAAGGTGTCCTCCTTGAGATAAAGCGATATCATCTTGTGATTGGCAGTGTTGTGACCCTTCAACCAAACTCCTTATCAGCTCTTGCAGACTTAAATATTGGAGGTCATGTTCTCTCTATCTAAAATTGGACTTTACTAAATGTATTTGTTTTTAGTTTTCTTGCATCATAGTACTTTAGCTGTAGTTCATGAATAATTTCAAATTTTAAAGAAATTCTCATTTTTCGTAATTAATAAAATGGTGATTAATGTATTAATAGCACCATCAACTTAAAATACAAGCTCTTTGCATATCTACATGTTGCTGAGAAATTATTAATCAAATACAATATTGCTTTAGTTGTAAATTATGGATGTTTGCTAAGCTTGGATCAAAACTGACCTAGGAATGTCAGTGTTATGCAGATTTTGAATGAATCAGGAATAAATCTGTTTACGACCAGGTTTCTCTCCGTTTGGGCAAAGAAAACAAACCTGCAGACAACTTCAATGGTTGCCAGCCAAAAAGAAAAAAAAAACAGTCATAATTCACTGCATTAGTCTGGCGGTATTTATTCTTATGTTGCATAGCACTAAGCCTCAGGATTTACAAGGCGTTACAAGGCTACCGGGTGCAATTACATTTAGATAAAGTGAGCACAATCACCCCACTTCTCCTTGATAGAGAGACAGATACTGCCGAGTTCCAGAAAGAGTGTTTAAACGTCCTCCATGGTAGGACAGATAAATACCTGAGACAGTCTCATTCAGTAGATTAATGTTTCATCACTAGCCCTCGTCCCAGGTTGACATCAGGGGACAGTAAGCACAATTTGAGGCACATTCCCAGTGAACCTGTGGCTGAGGCAGTTTAATATGAGTGTTTTCTCAAGGACGACAAGAGAAGCATCAGTAGCCTTTTCTGTCTTCCTTCCTTTCTCAGGGACACAACTGATCTCATCTGAGATACTGAGCGGTGTGTAAAATCAGCAATTGGGTACTGTAATATATGAGCCACTTATGGTAAAACATGACTCTATGTGTTTAGTCAAGTGGCTGGGCATTTATTCTGAGTAGCCAGTAACAGAAGGTGTGCAATTAGGGTGTTTGAGTCCTTGGTTGTTTGGAGGGCAGTTTAGAAGGAGAAAACCTCCCCAAAGGCTCATATCTTTAAACAAGCAGCTCCAAACAGGTAGAAGGTCTTATTTTTGGCTCCGTCTGCATGTGTGCGCTTGAATAGGGGAAGTAAATGGGCTTGAAACCCCACAGTCTGCACCTGCCTCACAATCTGTCTTTGCTCACATTATGACATCAAGGCACAGCCACTACTATACGCTCCAGCCATATCACTCCCTCACTTTTCCTGGATAGGTCAGAATCGTCGGCACGGAGCCAATGATGCAAAAAAGCCCTGTGCTTGTTATGGATGGAAGAGCATCTCACTGTGGACCGCTCACGGTGTTATGTTATAGAGAGTTGCACGCCTACAGGTTATGTTTATTTCTGCTGTGGATGCTGACAGTTTTTGAGAAGATTCCCGAGGGAAATTTGTTGGCATTTCCAAACAAAGACTCCCAAGGGCACCCAACACATATACATATTGACTGCAACTACCATTCCCTTCCAAATTTAAATATGCCATCATTTTCCTGTCAGACTTCTGTTTCAGGTGGGAGGTTTTGACTTGAAGCAACATCTTTTATAGAGCCTTTTACAATCGTCCAAACTCTGTCAAATTAGCCTAGTTTGATGGCATGCTGCGGAAGAAGGAGAAAGATGCATTCTCATAAATAAGAAATGGAGTAAAATCTTAAGTGTCTGACCGAAGAAAGCAGAAATGGTATCTATATCTGTCTTTGTTTAAGAGCTTTGGTTCTTATCCTACTGCTGTCAACACATCTGCAGATCCTCAGGAGATACAGTCTTGTATTCTGACTTCATACTGTTTTTTCCACTGCATTAAAGAGAGGCAAAAATAAATGTCATGCACTCTTAAATCTGCGACAGAGCATAGCTGAAGGAGCACAGCTTCCATTTCCTGAGCTCCTGGGAATTCTCTGGCATAATGAAGATGTTTTCCTGCGGTTTGATTTACAGGAGACATTAGCATATGCTGAATCTCTGTGCCTGGAGCAAAGGCAATAATATCATGAAATCAGTGATCATACCACAACTTAATATATCAACTAACATTCTAAATGCTCCTTAAATAAGGCTCTTACTGCAAAAACCTTAATATTTTAGTGTATGTTTGGTTTTCCTAGGCATACTCTAAATATCCTTAAAAATTGTTTTACCTGAAGCAACATTGTAAGGTATTAAGAAATTATTTTTAATCCCTGCCTTTATTATTATTATAATTATCATTATTATTAGTATTAGATATTATCATATTATATTATGTTGTTATTAATATAGTTATGTTTAGTTATATTGTAACAAACGGGGAAAAATATATAAATAAATAAATAAAATGACTTAATTTTGCAGTGTTGGTGTACCTGCTGGTCTGCATTCTGATCCAAAGCACAGAAGTGCTTCATGAATGTCAGAAATGTTTAAATGAACATTGATCCACAATTACAGATGAAAGTGATATTTTTTTATGTTTTATCTGCAAATGGTGAAAGGAAAACTCGCTCAACATTTCAGCCATGGTTTAACTTTACATTATTAAACATGAGTTTTCTGAAAAAGCTGTACACACAAATAGCAATCGCAGTACGGTCTTACGTAAATAGTAACCCACAATATCTAGGTATACAATGAGAATAGAATGCACACAATGAATGTCTCTAAGATCTTTTTCTCTCTCCTCTTTTTCTTCCCTCCCTCCTCCTTTACTGCTGCCCCCGTCTATCTTCGCTGGAGCAGTGGATCACTTGGGCATTGAGTTCATGGGTAAGAAAAAGAAAAAGCTTTTTCTTATTGGCAGAGTGATGAATCATGCTTACAGAGTTTATATGAACCAAGGCAACTGTGTATCTGCTTTGTGCAGCCGTGCTTTTCTTTTCATTGCATGTGTTTGAATGTGAACGTTCTTGTTATCTCTTTTGACTGTGCACTGTATGTGGGCTAAACTGTTGTTTTTCCTTCTTGACTCTTCACTACAGCCTCTATGAAAATACCGTCATGAATGCGTTCACATTTGTAGAGATACAATATTTGAAGCATAAGGTTGCTTCATTAACATTTGACAGGACTAGAATTACTAGTTATTTTGCTATTTACCAAAGCACTGTGGTGTAAGAACATGTCATTAAATTGTGCACTTAAGACTAGTTTGTGGTCAGAAATTAGTAACAGAGAGCAAATTACAAATCATAGGTGTCAGCTCGCTGCCTTTCATTTGCTCTCAAACTACTCTTCCCTCTCCTCCAATCACTTGGCTGCATTCCACTGCAGAATTCCAATGCTCTTTGGTCTCCTTGGAAACGGGATTGAAATGTCGAGAGAACAGTAACAGGAAACACTGAGGGTGAATTCATATTGTTGGCACAGTTTGAGAGGTAACACTGTCAGTGTCTGTAATATATTTGTGTTTAATAAAATGTATTGTGCATTTGACAATGCATATGTAGGCGAGAAGTTGAGTTCCCTTTCAGTCAGTCACATTCTACGTTACGTCAGTCGTGACTGACGAATTGGGATCTCGCCCGAGAGCCCAATCACCTTTGAGTGTTACTTAAACAAGCCAATGACAGTTGGCGTGCGTGTTTCGCCACACGCACCCCGCCCCGCAGCGCGGGTATAAAAAGAGAGCGCATGCAAACACACATCAGCTTTTCGCTCCGGAGCCGAGCCTTCTCAGGACGAATCTCCGCGAGTGTTTGGAAGAAACAGCTGGCGTTGGTGTTACGGCGTGTCAGCGGGGTTTGCCATTCAGTGCTGCTCATCTTCGGCGTGCTGCAGCTGCCATTCTGCGGTCTCGCCGCGACCTCCCCTGGGCGCTCTCTCTAAAAGAGTGTTTTCTTTTTTTCCTAAAAGAGCAAATGTCTGAAAGAGCTCCACGAGCGACGGGCGTCTTTTTAAAGATGGCTTCCCGCTCGTGCGTTTCTGGATGCGGTCGTTTCCTGCCTCCATCTAATGGTCATGATCGCTGCCTCTCGTGCCTGGGCTTACAGCACGCTGAAGCAGCGCTCATGGATGAGTCATGTTCTCAGTGCGGGAACATGACCATCGCGATGTTGCGGTCTAGATACCTCCTCATTAAAGGGGGGGGGGGGGGTATCCCCCTTGCCATGCCTAGCTCTTCCGGTTCTCGGAGGGCTACTTCGGTTCATGGTCAGGGAGACCTGAGGGTTACAGTGAGAGCTTCCCCGTTGAGTACGGCTCCGCGGGCCTCTCATTCCTCAAGCATTCCGGATGAGTGCGCTGGGTCCTCGGACAGGGCGGGGTCCAGCATCTTGTGTGGGACACAGACAGAGGACAGGATTTCGATCGCTGCATCAGAGGGCGAGCTAGGCTCTGACGTGCTGCCCCCGTCAGGTAGAGTGGCGTTGCCCGAGTCAGATCCAGAGCTGACCGCTATGCTTTCCCGGGCCGCCGAGAGTGTCGGGCTGCACTGGAGGCCTCCTCCTTCTCCCGAACGCTCGAGGCTGGATGATTGGTTCCTGGGGGCGCAGGCCGGGCATCGGCAGCCGCCTCCGGTTCCATTTTTCCCGGAAGTGCATGAGGATGTTACTAGGTCTTGGAAGGCACCTTTTTCTGCCTGAAACAGACTTGGTGCCTCCTCCGTCCTCACCACCCTCGGCCCAAGGGTATGTGGACATCCCTCCGGTTGAGTGCGCTATTGCCATGCAGCTCTGCCCGCAAAGCGCCGCCACCTGGAGGGGTAGTCCACGCCTTCCGTCCAGGGCCTGTAAGATCTCGTCCGCTCTGACGGCTAAGGCTTACAGCACTGCTGGACAGGCCGCTTCCACCCTGCACGCCATGGCCCTCCTGCAAGTCCACCAGGCCAAAGCCGGGTTTCTGTCACCCCGTGCTGCCGTCGGACCTTCAGCCCGTGGGCAGATCTTGCCTTTCTTCGGACAGGGGTGTCCCTTGGGCAAGTATCCAGGCATGTTGTTGTGTCAACAGATGCCTCTGCCAGGGGCTGGGGTGCCATGTGCATTGGGAATGCAGCTGCGAGGCTCCGTCCGGGGCCCCGGCTGCATTGGCATATCAACTGCCTCGAGTTGCAAGCAGTATGGCTAGCTCTGCGCCGCTTCAAATCGCTGCTGCACGACAAGCATGTACTGGTCCGTACGGACAACACTGTGACCGTTGCGTACATCAACCACCAGGGTGGTCTACGCTCCCGTCGCATGTCGCAACTCGCCCGCCATCTCCTCCTCTGGAGTCAGAAGCATCTGAGGTCGCTTTGCGCCGTTTACATCCCAGGCGAGCTCAATCGTGCAGCGAATGAGCTCTCACATCAGCCCGCCCTTCCGGGAGAATGGCGACTCCACCCCGAGACAGACCACCCGGCCAGGCGGCTCACCTCGCTCCTGTAGTTTGTCTCATCTCTGTTGCTAATGAGACCCACTACAGTTGTGTCATCCGCAAACTTGATAAGGAGGTTGGAGTTGTGTGACGGTGTGCAGTCGTGGGTCAGCAGAGTGAAGAGGATGGGGCTCAGCACACATCCTTGGGGGGCCCCAGTGTTCAGTGTTATGGTGCTGGATGTGTTGCTGCCGACCCGTACTGCCTGAGGTCTTCCAGTCAGGAAGGCCAACAGCCAGTTGCACAGAGAAGTGTTGCGCCCCAGCTGGACCAGTTTGTGAATGAGCTGTTGAGGGATGATTGTGTTGAATGCTGAACTGAAGTCTATGAACAGCATTCTGACGTATGAGTCTTTTTTGTCCAGGTGTGTGAGTGCTGAGTGGAGGGTAGTGGCGATGGCGTCATCGGTAGAGCGTTTGGACCGATATATGCAAACTGGAAGGGGTCCAAGGAGGGGGGGAGGGGAGACTTGATGTGGTGCATGACTAGCCGTTCAAAGCACTTCATGAGGATGGGGGTAAGTGCAATTGGACGGTAGTCATTGAAGCAGGATGGAGACGACTTCTTCGGGACTGGAATGATGGTGGTAGCTTTGAAGCATGTGGGGACAACAGCCTGACTTAGCGAGATGTTGAAAATGTCTGTGAAGACATCGGTGAGTTCCACTGCACAGTCTCTCAGTACATGCCCAGGAATGTTGTCAGGACCCGGAGCTTTGCGTGCGTTGATCCTGCTGAGGGATCTCCTCACGCTGTCCGGGGACAGCATCATCACCTGGTCGCCGGGAGGAGGTGGGCTACCTCCAGCGGTAGTAAACTCCATCATTTCAGCTAGAGCCTCGTCTACCAGGCACGCTTACAGGCTGAAGTGGAACCTGTTCGTCGTTTGGTGCTCTTCCCGCCGGGAAGACCCCCGTAGATGCCCGATCGCAGTCGTGCTTTCTTTCCTGCAGGATGGCTTGGAGCGAAGGCTGTCTCCCTCCACCCTGAAAGTGTATGTTGCCGCCATTGCCGCACATCACGATGCAGTAGACGGTAAGGCTCTCGGGAAGCACGACCTGATCATCAGGTTTCTTAGAGGGGCAAGGAGGCTGAATCCTCCGCGCCCTCACCTGTTACCCTCTTGGGATCTCCCCTCGGTCCTCATGGCCCTGAAGGAGGAGCCCTTCGAGCCTCTGCAGTCAGTAGAGCTTAAGTTTCTGTCATTAAAGACAGCGCTCCTCACCGCATTGGCCTCGGTCAAGAGGGTAGGGGACCTGCAGGCATTTTCGGTCGACAATTCGTTCCTAGAATTCGCAACGGGTAACTCTCACGTTGTCCTGAGACCGGATATGTGCCCAAAGTTCCCACCACGCCTTTCAGGGATCAGGTGGTGAACTTGCAAGCGCTGCCCCGGGAGGAGGCAGACCCAGCCATCGCTCTGCTCTGTCCCGTTCGCGCTCTGCGCATTTATGTGGACCGTACGCGGAGCTTCAGGACCTCAGACCAGCTCTTTGTCTGCTTTGGAGGTCAGCAGAAGGGAAAGGCTGTCTCCAAACAAAGACTTGCCCACTGGTTAGTGGAGGCTATAGTCTTGGCATACCAGGCCCAACGTTTACCATGCCCCCTCGGAGTGAGAGCTCACTCTACGAGAGGAGTGGCATCTTCTTGGGCATTGGCGCGGGGCGCCTCGATTGCAGACATCTGTAGAGCTGCCGGCTGGGCGACGCCTAACACGTTCTATAATCTCCGTGTAGATCCCGTGTCCGCTCGTGTACTCGCCTCAGGTAGGCAGTAACACCGGACCTGCTCGGTGTCGATCACGCTTGCTGCGCCATTCCCCTCTACGGACCGGATACATGCGCTCTTGTGCTCCTCATTCAGTTCCCCATGACGAACCCTGGTGGAGTTCCTCCCGCACCCTCGGCAGTCAGGCGTGGCGGAGCGCCAGACGCCAGGCTCAGCACTCGTGTGCATGCCCAAGGTCAGCCCCTGTGCTGGGCTAGGTGCCCGTGTGTAGTGATTCCCCCTTCGGGTGATCCCACATGTGTATTCTTCCACGGTACGGCTCCCCTCACGGTAAGCCCGTGTCTTTCCCTGGCAGTCGTTCACTGCCATCTCTGCAGTGTAGTGATCTCACCCCAGGTGGGTTGAGTCTACCGCAGAGACTTCCATATGTAGTACTGCCCTGGGCCAGTCCATATGTGTAATTCCACATAATACCTCCTATGTGCGGGATGTGGCTTCCATAGCGTCCCAACTGGGTACGCTTTCCCAGTGTTATCCAATGCACCACTGTATGGAACAGCAGTGGCGGACACCTCTGCCTAGCCGCTGTCCTATCTTCCGCCCCAGCTGGTGTGGGGGGACTTGCCGGCTTCCGCAGGGCACTGGAGGGGGTCAGCAATAGTGGCGTTTTCCAGACGGATCCCAATTCGT